CATGAAGATCCTTTAAGATGATGGTGAAAGCCAACGCGGGAGGAAAAAATTCTCATTTGTCTTTAGTATTAGAGCCTTTCGCCTTGACAACGCGAGGCATTCAGGCAAGTTATGGGCTCACCGTAATTGTTGGGTATACTGTCTTCTATCTGACAAAAAAGAGAACTTTGTTCATGAAACCGCAAAGGAAAGCTTTTGTTCAGGAATTCTTATATATGTGGTTAATGTTCCTATTTAGATGTGTAATGCGGTCTTTGCAAATTGGAACACATCACAATGGCAGCAGTTACTCATCGAGTTGCAGAATACCTTCTTGGATAGCCTAGACCTTAATGAAAAATGCAATTTTCTTTAAAGGCACAGCACAGCAAGCAAATCACTTACGAGATATGTCCTGGGGTAAATTTTGGGCCCCCTGGTATACGATATGTTGCGCTGTCGTGAAAATCGGCGTTATATAGATATTGCACCGTAGGTTCCTCGGACGAGTTACACCGGCACTGTAAAGACTGCACCAATCACGAGGGCACTCATGTAGGGATGCAAGTTCAAACACTAGTACAACACGACCCATAGCGACAGTGGAAGGCAGTTCTGTACGGTGGCTGGTGTAATGTAGTAAGCTCTTTACGCAATATAAACGAATGGAATTTCATCCTAATACCTCTTTCGTGTTCTTTCCTTTCTCTTTCTTTTCAATCGTTTTCATGGTAATTTCGTCCAAGCCAAAATTTTACTTATTTTGGAGCCTTATTTTTTTAGAAATCGACGAAATTCCTCTTTTCGTTCACAACCGATAAACTATTCCCAACCTATACTTCCGCTTTTCGACTTAAAAGAGGTACCTCCAAATTATCGCGAGCTGTGCCTTTAACATAATTCATACATATTCTCCTTACTCATTTCCACTTAGCCCGTCACCTGTTTATGCTTATCCCGGTAAATGAAAGGTAACAAAGATAGAAAGATAATCTCGGTGATTGGATTCCACTTTTTGAATAAACACCAATTGTTTACCAGGTTTATTCTTTCACCCAGCGGGCAAGCCAATCCTTAATGATTAAAATCTTCTGGTTTCTCGAGAATAAGATGTTCACATGGTTCTTCATATTGGGGTATAACGAATGAGTAAGTTCGAAGAATTTTTTACAAAGATCATGGACGCCATGTTGCTTTACGTCAAGGCAAGTATGTACATCTACTAGTCGATGATCGTTAGCTTAGATAGTAGGCCACTTTGGCATTGCTATTATAGGCTGACGACTAGTATTCGTATTTCTAGGTTATTTTTTGAGCTCTTCACGAGGTTCATATATAAGCTGACGTTTCGGTAGAATGGCTTTTTGTTGAGACTGAAAGGGTCATTACAATTGGTTATCCCATCAACGCCTTCATT